AAACTGGAACAAATCATAACGGACTTAATTATGGGAACTGAAATTGGTCGATTGTCTTATATTATTGTAATTTGTAATTTAATTTTTAATTCTTATATGGACAATGGAAATTTGTTGCAAATTTATATATTTTTTTTAAGTACTACATTTTATCATTTACTATTTAAATGAAGATTGCCTTCTTAATTTTTTTAAAAAAAATTTACTGTTGATTTATTAATATTTGGATACAGAGGAAATAACAAGTTTTTGATATTCATTTATATAGTGAAAATTGTTGGTATTAATATTTGTTGATTTATTAATTAATATACAAATTTTATTATAAATATGTGTATTGATAACATCATATTTTTTTTAATTTATTAGAAACAAATTTTTGAACCCAACTGTAATGCACATGACCGGCAGTGGCACTAAAGTCAAGCCACGTGGAAAGCTGCCCCTTTTTTTTTTATGAATTGCTGTAAGGGCGGTATGTTCTATTTACATCCCACCATCATTTCAAATTCATTTTTTTTACAATAATTTAAATAAAAATTTATCCCATTTTTTTAAATATAAAAACTAAAATAACTTATTAAAATAATCAAAAAGTCTAAAAGTCTAAAAAATAGTCACTTCCCAAACACCCACTATATTTACATGCATCATAGATTTTGAAGAAATTGAATCATTTAAGTTCATAATTTGAAGAGAAAAATAAAATGTTTTATGAAAATCAATTTTATGAAAATTTAGAATTAATCCTAAAGTTAGATAAAGTTTTGATTTCGATTATTAATCCATGCATGTAATGTAATTTAAGAGTTTTGTTTAATTTAAACAAATTTTGGAATATATTAAATTAGTTAGTTTTATTTGAATTACATATATTCAATGTTTGCTAGGAAATTGACAAGAAAATGAAGAATTGGAGCTAAGATCAAGTTTATGAAGTTAAATTATAAATTAATTATTTTGGATTTGATTTCGAAAGTTATTGTTAAATTAAGCTCCATAAATTACGTGCAACAAAGATTTATTGAAAATTAATCATGACTCATAATTATTTTCATGTTTTGGTGAATTTTGCATGAGTTTGAAATTGGGTTTGATATGAAGAAAATGAATTAAATCTAAAATTGGACAAATTAATAAATAAATTATAATTTGAATTTGGCAATTAAGAATTAATTTGATCTTAATTTGAATTTCATATATGTAGATATTTTTCTAAGAGTCTTATAGCTTTAATTTCATATTTTATAAGAAAAGGGAAAAATTTTTTTGAATCATTATATTCATGAAGTTATAGCTTTAATCTTGACAAATTAAGGAGGGTTTTGCATTAAGATTTGAAAATTAGTTATATGTTCATATTTATTAATGACATTACATGTTTAAATATGCATGAATCTAAGTTTTGAAATGAAATTTGGAAGCTATATCTTCATTGTTGGAACTCAGAAAATTTACAGACCGCTCGAGCAAACATTTTGAGCCTATGAGGGTTGTTACAGTTTTGCATTAAGATTTGAAAATTAGTTATATGTTCATATTTATTAATGACATTACATGTTTAAATATGCATGAATCTAAGTTTTGAAATGAAATTTGGAAGCTATATCTTCATTGTTGGAACTCAGAAAATTTACAGACCGCTCGAGCAAACATTTTGAGCCTCCAATATTTTTACAGACAGTAGCTGCCAAGCTATTTTCAGCATATTATGAAATATCATATTTTGTTTATATTTTCATCTCATCTCCTCCTAAAGCATTCTAGACATGATTTATGACTCAATGAAGATTAATAAACTAACAATCAACATAAATTAAAGAATAAGTCATTAACTTAGTAGTAATTGATTAAGAAGCCGAGTAAGCAATTGGTTTAGCCAGAAAAGAATGATTTAGTGATAAAAGAATATGTGAAATGAGAACCCGATTCATTTGACTAAAGAAAGAATAAGCGTAGTAAACTTTCAGATTATTTAGACAGAAGACAAGAGAAGTCAAGTTTGATCAAGCAAGTAATATTGTGTTTCAATGTGTATATGTTATGTGTTTGTGTAAGTTGTGCGCTTTTGTCTGCCTGATCTGCTTCTGCAATCTGTGAATAATAACTTAGTAAAATTATGTTCGATATGAAATACTTTCTGAACATTATGATATGATATGAACTGTTTCTGAATGATACAAAAAGCTATTTTGTGATTACATGAATGATGATCCAATTCTTTGAAATGACTTCGTGGTATCTTTGGCAGAGGCCCTCGCTCAAGGGAAATAATATTGTGACTTATGGTCATAAGGCCCTCACCCGGGGAAATAATATTGTGGCCTAGGCCTTCGCTTAAGGGAAATAATACTGTGGCCCAGACCCTTGCTTGGAAGAAACAATACCGTGGCATAAGCCCTTATCCGAGGAAAACAATACCATGGCCCACGTATGAGATATGTTACCCAGTATCGGAGGTTCCATTATGGAACTTGATAACTTGATATGCATAACCAATGTGATATGTAATGCTAAAGGAAGTACCATACATGATTTGAATATGAATACGAATATGACTCTGTTTCTGTTACTAATACGAGCATAACTATATTTCTGATTTGATAAGGGAATGAAATTTGATTTCTAAATCTGTTATGGACATCATTTATTAAAATCTTTACTCTGTTATTATTCATTGGGTTTTAACTCACTGAAATATTTATGTATGTAAGTGATCAGACGCGTGACCAGGTCTACAGCTTCTGCCTGGACTCTGCTTTGTCAACTAACCTATGTGTCTTCCGTGAAGGTTCCGGATATGTCAAGTGGTTATGGCTATGTGCATAAAGTTCGAGCTTTATTTTATTGTCTTGGTTTAACAAGTGATTTTATTTAATCTGTACTTAGAGCTAAGTCCCTTTTTGTCTAGCCTATGCACAGCTCAATGGACGTTGTATATTTGTTATTTGCTTCCGCTAGTTCCTAATATTATATTAATCTATCTCAGAGACTTTCGATAATCTCAAGATTACTAGCCGGTTAAGATACTAAACCTACAGGGATGTGTTTGGGTCGTGACATTGACAATGTAAATATTCCATGATGTATTTCATGGTTGTTTGAGATGAACTAAATAAATGCATTTTTTGACTTTTAACGAAAAGATATACAGAAAAATAGAGAGGTGATGTGACCTAAAAAAGATCAAAAGTGTGCTTATATAGCACACCCTAAACAAGCTCAATGTTCACATCGCCAAGTTACTAAGGTTATGTTTGTTTGGGTGGACATGAGCATGGGATTGGACTAATAATCCAATAAAATTATTAATCCGATGTTTGGTTAAACAATTGAAGTACGGATTAATTATTTTAAACTTGACTATTAGTTAAGATAAATATTCCATGATGTATTTCATGGTTGTTTGAGATGAACTAAATAAATGTATTTTTTGACTTTTAACGAAAAGATATACAGAAAAATAGAGAGGTGATGTGACCTAAAAAAGATCAAAAGATCAAAAGTGTGCTTATATAGCACACCCTAAACAAGCTCAATGTTCACATCGCCAAGTTACTAAAAGTTTAAAAAATATTTATAAGGGTAAAATTATCCATAAAATATCTTAAATATAAAAATTAAAATTTAATGAATCAAATGTTCAAAATAATAAAACTTATTAAAATACAAGAATATATAGGAGTACTTAAAAGAAAATTTTCCAATAAATTATTATTTTCTTAAATATTATTTTTAGATTTTCTATTCGTGTAGAGCACTGCCATTTCGAAAGGAAAATGAAGTTGTTTGGGTTGTATATCTTGGTTTAGGAATAAATCAAAACGCACTTGGTCCATAAATTCAAATTTAAATTTTGTTTGACGAGAAGTCCAGGCGTAAAGACAAGCATAGATTAAATGACCAAAACACCCATATATATATTGTATCACCACCTACCATTCCGTTTATCCCCAACCCCTCCTCTCTTTCTCTCTCTCTACTTGAATAGAAACCCTAGTTGAAGGAGGATGGAGTCCAGCACCGTTGTTGGCAACGGGAGTCCATGCGGCATTGCAACAGTCCATTTTTCTCGACAACAGAGAGTCCATTCCATCAAGGTCAAGCATTGAGTTCTTCAAGTTCGTGGCAGATTCCGAATCTAGATCTTCCGGATATGGAGCTTCACGAAGTTGGAGAAGGAAGAGAGGCGTCAAATCTGTCTTCACTTAGGCTTTTATAGAGGGTCACTGGCGAAACCTCAAGACCGTTCTTCATTTTGGCCGTCAAATTTGTTACTTCTAGCTTTTTGACACATTATTTTGAAAACATGATTAAAAGTAATTTTTTTTATTTTTTTAAATCACATCTCCTATCTACTTTTCTACATGTTTTTTTTTAAAAAGTCCACAGAAGCTAAAAAGTCAACTTTTAACTTAGAGTTTGTTTTGAAAAGTGTTAAATAAGTTGATTTTTTGCTTATTACGAAAAGACCTACAAAAATTTTCAATTGTTGGTCAGTGGTAGTTAGAGCTTAACTTGCATATAATCACAACATTTTGAAATATAATATATTAATGTTGAGTAACATTTGGATAAAAAAAGTATAACACTACTATAAAAATCAGTAACTATATCACATATTGTTACAACTTCACTTCAAAAACTGCATATTGTTATAATCATACAAAAAAAAAAATTTACCTAACATTTATTACGAAAATTCATAATGTTCACCAAATAATAAGTAATAAGGTCATATGGAAGAAATTTCCTTCGCAAATTTGTCATAACAAAATGGAATTATACACTGCACATCAAAGTCATATATGAAATGATACTTTTCTAGTGCTCAATAGACAAACATAAATGATCGTTCATCTCGAAATTTTTCTATCCCAAAACATTCTAGTCGTTGGATCATTGAAAATCTCAAAATGCGATAATCTCAAGACATAATCGAATAAATGTGAATGTTTTGAGACAAGGGAAGCAGAAAATTTAGAGACAAAAAGACTGCATATCATATATAATTATTATAATATATGAATTTTCACATGGCCTCCCTGTTGTACACACACAGCATAGGCACTAATGGAAGCAAGTAGTGAATGCTTAACATGATTTACCTTTACCCATTACTGCCATGGCTTTGATCACCTAGCAGAGTGTGAGTGTTGAATCTTTTTATTAAGCACAATTCTCAGGTAAGCTTGCTATAATTTTACATGAGGACTGGCTCAAAATTTATTCTAATAGGAAGAAAGATATTGATGTTCTTAATATAACAATAACAAAAGAACGAGGAGAAGAAAAATAACCAATACGATGACTAAGCTGACTTTTGTTGGCTATATCGTAGAATACCATATACGTCTATAATACCAGGAGGAAACACTGGATCAGTTGCAGCTCTTACAGCAACCCGTGCCACTGAATTCACGTTTACTGGAGGTGTAAACAGAGGTCCAACCAGTGGAATTTGGTTGAGTGGCTTCGCATGTTGGAGAACCTGCAGTGGCAACCATATATGTGGTAATGTAAATAATAAAAGACCATATTCGCATACAATCCCTCTGTGTATGGGCTAATATTTGTGAATTCCACTTGACCACAATCTAAAACCGAATGGAGGGGAAAAACATGTTAAATATCAATTATCTGAAGTTTTTCGTACAGGATTGATGACAGTGTAATGAGTTTAACAGTTTACCATCTCCAATGGAGCCCCAACAACGCCTAAAGGTAACTTCATACTCCCAACTTGACGAGTGCCATGTATAAAACCCGGCCTCAGAATGACACCTGAAAAAGAGAAATAACAAGAACATCCCTTATATATATGTATATCTGCTCCAGACTTCAGACTTAATAGATGTACTTTATGCACAATGATTTCACAGTACTCCACAGACTCTTCCTAATGCATAAATTATATAGCATTTTAGGATGGAGATGTTTGAGATACAATGGTGATGCAGGACTTAGCAACAAATCCAACATTTAGATAACGAGAACATGGTGGAAATATCAGGGAGGTTTGAAAACAATGATGATAATAAAACAAAGTGGTGAACTCAATGATGAAAACATTCATAGGTTAAGCAAAGCAGACCAAGTAACTTAACAACACTATATTCTGATGTCATACCAGAAATCATATTCTATTATCTCATAATCATTTGGAAGAAATTAATTATCTAAGAATTGTGCTAATGGTTGAGGGTATGAGAATTTCAGGAGCTTCTAAATGCACCCACTAAACTTTTCTCTACACCCACATGTACAAGTATTTCTCCATAAGATAAAAATTCAACAATGCATATGGTAGGTGTGAAGACAAATTAAGTGGGTTTATTTAGGAGCACACAAAAATAACATGCACCCATAATTAGTTGCAAATTTCAATTATGAATAATCAAAATTGCTATTAGTTGCGATGCTCATAAGGTGATTAAAGGATCTTGTAACAAATTATAAATTTATAATTGCCCTTAGACTTGTGTTGTATTCAGTACATTAAGCTCAAACTGAACCTTCCCACAAAGAAAATGTTTCTCTGCAACAATAAAGTCAAAAGTATATCTTATGACTTTCATTTCAATCATTCATAAGAAGCAGAAAAAAGATTTGAAGAGAAAATTGAAAGATGAGATGACCAGATACCCTCACTGATAATATCCTTCAAAAGATACAATAGTATTGCGATTGTTGCTTGTTATGTTGATTTTCAACTGGACACTCCAGCAGCTTAGGTCCCATTACCCCAATAAGGAAACTCAAGTTCGGGTCTCCTTAACTTGCCTATTAAAGGAAAAATATATTTCCAATTGCCCAATTGTTGCTTACTTGGGAGAAGCTTCAATTACTTTGAGATAATTGAACCCAAGTATACAAAATGATCAAAAGGTAGTAGCACATACAACTTGCTATTAATATGAAATTATTGCCAAAGAAATTGAAGCACAAATCCACCAACGATGTCCTTTATGCAATGGAACACTCTTGCGGAACACATTGACTGAATAAGAACCGTGATACTGTGCTAAATAGAGATGTCAATAATCTTGAAGAGAGAATATGAATTTTACCTCCATATGGGAACCTAATCATTAGCTCCGTTTCAGCCGCTTTCTGCATCAGTGTATAAAGGCTACATCAGAAAAAAGAGAATCACAAAGAAACTTCAAAACAAAAGAATTCAGGTATAAACTATGACAAAATTGAGATATATTGTCATATTATTGATTACATGAGAAACATGGCAGTTGTAGAAATTATTTGATGTAAATAAAATCTGGAGATATTCTATATTCTGTGCATAATACTCACCTTTCAGCATTAGTATTAGTTCACATTATACATCAATGCAATTTCTTTAACTCTTTATAATATATATATATATATATATATACATGTTTTTAATTAAACTAAACAGTAGGAACCATTCAGTTCGGCGCCATCCCCCGGGTTCAACAAAACTTTTAACTGCAAAATACCCAAAAAAAAATGTTTGCACATTTTATTTTTGTTTTGCATATAATTTGTTTGCAGCATAAAAATAACTAGAAAGCCAAATATTACCTTCCCCTCATAATATCCTTGTAGCAGGAAATTTGCCAAACTAAAGTCAGCAGCAGAGACGTATACAAATCTTTTAACACCTGCACAAATTGATGCTATTAGAGATGCTTCATGCATCTTACGCAATTTTCCAATAAACAACCAAGAAAATTTTGAAAAGCAGTCCACAAATCTCAGCCATTTCTCTATAAACTCTGAAGTGATACTGTGTAACACTTTCTATTTTTTTCTTGTCTATAGCTGCTCAACCTTGTCCAGCACTCTCATTCCTTTTTTGCTATTCTCTTTCTACACAAATCCTGTTCAAGATTTAAAAAAGTTTCTTCTTCCATTTTCTTTTCTTTTTCTATTTGTTCTCAGTATCATGACAAATCCCTTCTAAAACTAACAAAGAAGAAAATTGGAAGCGGGATTGCGGAATACCTTGTTCAGCAGCTGCTCTAATAGCATTTACATTTGCAGTCCCATTGATTTTATACATGTGCGCGTTTGAGCCAAAACCTCCAACACATGAGATCTACAAATTTCATCTTAAATCAAGAAATGCACCAATTGAATTGAAAAAAGAGACACATGAAAACAAATAACAATAAAAACAAAGAACTTGAAAAAAAAAAATACAGAGTGTGAATTGATTCAGCAACAAGAAGAATACTTGATTTAATGCCCTTAAAAAGTTAATCATGTTATGGATTTTGAAAGAAACCCCAACGCATTGTGGTCAAAACGATTCAAACCCTGATTGTATCCATCGCACCACTAAGTGAACTTAAAGGAGTTGCAAGGCAGTTATTTATCAAAAAAAAAAAAAAAGAGCTGCAAGGCAGTTGATTTAGAGGGTTTTTCATTGTTACAAGCTTCGCAATGGAATCAGGTTCACTGAATAACAAGAGCCAACCAGTCTGGATGTATTGTTTGGATTCAGGCTCTCAACAGAGATAAAACTGGCTTCAGCATTGGCACAATCAACTAAGGTAAATAGACAACATTTTGCCCCATACAGTTGGTCAAGACCATATAATCCATTTTCCCCCGTTCAAATGGTCAAAATAGAATAGTTCTACTTTGCCAAGTTGAACAACTAAAAAGCAAATCTAAACAGCAGTTGCAGTGATCAATAATCTCCACTCAAAACCTCCTCTCAGGAATCATGCACGCTATCAGCCAAATGCGCACAATCTGCCGTGAGAATGAAAATCACATGATGAGCACTCCATTTGTTTTAAAATCAAAGAACAGCAAAGTGTATAAAGGAGGTACAAAGGGGTTACAAGAATGCAGACAGGGATTACGGATGAAATAACTTATATAGTTCTCATGTCCTCTAAAATATGAACCCAATCATCTTTAAGGCATGGTTCCTCAATAATCAAGAACCTATACGACCATGTCAAATTGCTAACTGGTCAATATTAGAAGCATGTCAAAGTGGTTGTTACCTATTAAAATGTAAAATCAAAATTTGGGCTAATTTCACCCGGTAATGAACAAGCAAAGAAGATCTGAACCCTCACCTACTTCCCTAAATTTCATTTTATAATAGAATCATACTTCCCAAGGCTACATAAGTAACAACTAAGAGAACATATACCACAGAGGTCACTCCATTCAGTGCATTCTTCAATGAATCAGATGAAAGAAGATTTCCTGTTTGAAAAAGAAAAGAGAATTACACACCATATATCCACATCTATGACAGTCAAAATAAACATAAAAACTCCTTCCAAACCTTGATGCCAAAAGACTCTGTTCATCCAAGACTCATGTACAGACGGCCTCCCAGACCTAACAATAACAAAAATCAGCAAATAGTTTTTTTATAATTTCTGTTTCTTTTGAGAATGGAAGCAATTAATTTGACAAATGTATATACATCAAATGAAAATATTAAAAGATATGGAAGAAAACAACATATACATGTGTGTGCATATATCTGAATATGCATTAACAAACAACCACAAGCATATCCGATGCGCCAGTAAGTTCTGTACCCACAAGAAGTATCATCCTAAATGACAAACACAAAATCATGGTACACCATGAAGCTTAAGTGCCCCCAAACATCATAAATGAGAAAGTGGCATGTTCTCTAGAGAAGGATATGTGAGACCTGCCTCTATGGATGAATGGAAAAACGTTAAAGGGCATATATAAAACAACATAAGCTGACATACACCAAATTGTTTAATATCTTCATGGCAAGTTCTTAACAGGAAATTATGTAAAGGGAATGCTAGAACTTTTAATGACAACAGGAATAAGTGTAGACAAAATCAGGTTTTGTAGCTATTTTAGAAATTAAGGCAAACAAGGAAAGTCAATAACTTAGTAATATCAAAAGGAGAACGTCAGAAGAGAGAAAACATGCATAAACTAGTAAAGAGAGAAAGAAAATTTGTTTTCCTGGGGTTTGAGTCTTCAAAAGCAAATAGGGAGAGAGAGACAAATGATGAAATACTTAAAAGAGTTGTTTGCACTCTTTTTCCAGCAAAAAAAAAAACAGAATAGAAAAACCAAAAATTGGATTCGGAAAATCAAAAGAGAATCAATCGATTGAAGATTCACCAATTCATCTACAATTCAACACATAAGATGTGCATGTACCATTAAAAACAAAATATTGACAAGCTCATTGCATGAACTGCAATTTTCTAGCAACATTGAGCTGATAGGTCACTAAATGTCCATAACTGATTCAACAGCTAACAATAGTTAAGGGGAACACGTAAATTTACATATATTAATAGATTATATGAATAAAATCTCTAACCTCACCCTGTCCTTTTGATGCCATGTTAGTACTTTTATAACCACTATAACAATTAACATCAATGTGTGAGTAAAAAATCAAGCTGACAGTTACTATAGTAACAGTAAAATCACGCAATCCAGAAGAACCTGTTAAAAAGATAATGGAAAATAGACATTGATGTTCACATGAACTTGGTCTCAAATATTAAGATGGGGTTGACCTAAACTATTGTTGCAAAATACCATTTCATACGGGGAAAAAAAAAAAACAATATGTTCCAACTTCAAGTGTACCTGCTAAAGCTATATACATTTAAACCACGCTTTAGAGCTTCTCTGCATATATGTGAACCAACAAATCCATTCCCACCCAAAACAAGTAACTGAATCAACCAAAAGTACAACTTAATACATATTCAAGAGTTCTAGCATAAATGAATGAGAAAATGAATACCTTGCATCCCAGTATGAACACAAAATACCTTTTCAGTTGGAGGTGGTGGGACTTCTACTGTCTCTGCTTCCTCAACTTTGAAAGGTTCATCTACCTTGTTAGGACCTGTTGTCGACAATAATCTCCCATTTCTGGATACAGCCACTGTACTGTCTCAGCAGTGGCAGAAGGCCAATTAAATTAAGAAGAAAAACTAATCATCAATAGACAGAAGGTAACAAACTCAACCTTTCTACGAACAGGATGACCATTATCTACAAATATGGAAAGGTGGGAAGGTGAAATGGCAGGCATGGTGATGCTAAAACTAGGGCTAGATCTAAGACGGCCAGGTGAAAAAGTTTACAGACTTTCCAAGCTTTTAGATAAGGAAGAGAGCAGAGCCATGGAAGCAATATATCTTCTAAGCACAAAATCCAACAAATTGCAGACTCACACTAACTTCTGAAATCTGATACCAAACAAATGATATAAGAAAATCTAATGATGAAGAGGTGTTAAGAAACCACATGATAATGGAACTTTCCACTTCACATTTCATAGCAACGAAATACTAACATCAATTGGTTTTTCAAGTCGTCGAAAACAACAGACAAAAAAGAAAAATGTCTAACGAATAATGTACATAAGCATGTATCTTAAAACAATTTATATGGTCCCTCATTCGTGAAGTCACAATTCCAAATTTCTGCCCAATAAGTCGAGGTACGTGCAAGTTGACCCGGACACAGGGTTATCAAAAAAAAAAAAGTACATATGGATACTTGTTAAACAGATTTCACATTTTCAAACTTCACTTCTCTTCCCATCCAACTTCTCAGCCACAAATTAACCATTGAAAGAATTGGTTTTTTTAGGGTTTCATAAATAATATCAACCCTATTTTATTACCACATGAAGCCAAGAAAAACTAAATAAAAAATGTCATCAAAATTCGTTTCACAACAATAGCATTACAAATTCCATCCCCCTTGGAACCGAAATCATCAATACATCCAGAAGATAAACATGAAAAGCATGTAATATAAACTAACTAAATCATGAAATAAATAAAAGAAAAAGAAAAATCATCAACACGCATATGAAAACATTAAAAATAATAATTGAAACAACAATATCAAAAAAAATGTGAAGAGAAGGAGTGGTGAAAAGCGGTTACCTGAGTCTGTAGGAAGAGGAATGTGAGTGGAAGAGCAAACGCGAAACGATCGTCTTCATCATTGGTTTCCTTTCTTCTCTCTTAGGTTTGTCGTGGAATTTAAACTTTGAAATATTGAATTTGAAAACCCCAATTGGGTAACAAAAGTGTATAATAATAATAAATTATTAAATAATTAATATTTTTTAATAATATTATCAATATATTTTAATTAATAATTTATATAATTTTGTTATTGTATAGGAGAGCAATATGAATTTCTTTTTTTAGTTAATTTTGTTAAATGAAAAATTCTAACAAGTATTTGTAATTTTTTAAATTACAAAAAATAATCTGTATTTTAACTAAATTTTAGGAAATGTATTTATAATTTACCTAATTTTTTTTATTTGTTAGTTATTTTTAGAAAGTACAACTTATTGAATAATTTAGAACTCTAAATATTGAGTTCTACATCTACCACTAGTGAGGTGAAAATAATAATAATAAAAAAAAAAACAACACAGACTGTGACAATGAATGAGATTCACTGTTACATCACTAGCAACAATCCTAATTAGAGGTCTCCAGCTTTATTGTTTCTTCAAATAATTTGTTCCCAAACATCCCCTCAATCTATGCTGATGACACGCATGCATGTGATGTGATGTACCTTAAATTACATGTACCTCCCATCAGTAAAGTTGTTTTATCCTTAATGGAAAAATATTTGGTGGCCCGAATTTTGTGACTCGAATGTATTAAATTGATATTGTTTTACATTTTAAAACAACGTTATTTTTGATATTTCAAGCCATTCGAGCTATCTTTTTTTGGACCACCTATCATTGTTGTTTTGAATATTCATTTAGTAATATTGGAGTCTTTTAAGAAGCTTGTAAAAAGTCACTTCTAGTTTTTTACTTATTTTAGGTGACATCATTTCTCATATAATTTATCTATCAAAAGATAAAACAAGTTAAAAAAATTAAAAATTTAATTTTTTACAAACTTTTCAAAACACTCCATTATGAATTTAAGTTTAATTATTTAAAATTATTATCTTATAATTCAAATTTATTTTATATATAAATCTTATATTACTATATAAATTTAATTTTTATCGCCACTCCTAGTTTGAAAAATAAGCTCAAATTTGCATATTTTTTTTTTTCACATTTAGGCTTAAAAATTAAGTGTTCGAATGACAAAATGTGAAATCTCCACAAAAATACTTCAGAATTAGTGTGAACACCTTAACAAGGATAAAAGTAACTTTCAAAAACAAACAAAAAAATAATAAGACTCTTGATTTCAAAATTAATCTTGAACTTGTGTTTTTTTTTTTGAACAGTTAAGCTTGAAAATGAACTTTCGAATGGAACAATTATGAAATATCCACGAAATTCCCTTGGAATTGGTACGAACATTTTAGTAAGAACAAAAGTAACTTGTAGAAGCTAGTGGAATAAGCATAGGTGATGTAGAATAAATAGCTGAGGAATTTTTGGAACAACTGAACTAGTAAAAGGTAATGAAGAAGTCAAACTGAGGGTAATTGCTGTCCTCGGTGATGATGCATAGTGGATTTTAGCAAAATTTCTTCTTTTAGGACTTGAAATTAGTAATTTTGCCGTAGAAAATTTTGGTCTTAGCAATTATTTTATTTTCGACAATGCTACGTAGCTCAAATTTTGTGGCTCAAAAGTGGCTCAAATGGCCAAAACGACGTCGTTTTGAGTACAGAACAGTTGTTCTGTACTCAAAACGACGTCGTTTTGGCCATTTGAGCCACTTTTGAGCCACAAAATTTGAGCTACGTAGCATTGTCGTAATTTTATTTAAAAATTTAGGATTTTGAATGATTTCCTTGTTTAGGAGTTGATTTTGTTATATTTTTAATTTTTCAATTTTAATTCATTAATTATTAATGTTGAACATTTTAGAAAATGGGGGGGAAAATGGCCAAAAATAAATATTTACAAAACGGGAAAAAAAGTCAAAAAAAATTTTTTAAAGAAAAAAGTCCAATCCGCAAACTGTCCGCAATCGTCTGCACACCTGCGAAATCTATGAGCACAAATCGCATCCCGCACAACGAGCAGTTGCGAGTTTAATTTTTTTCGAACCGCACATATGCGGACGAGTCCAAATCGCAAACCAAACTGTCCAAAACCAAATTGTAAGCACCCCTAAACAGGACTGTTAAAAAAAACACGAAAATGAAAAAATGTACAGGACAATTAGGGGTTGTTTGGATTAATTTACAATTGCACATCTTTTAATTTTTTTTTACGTTTTATTTAGGTTACATCATCTATCTATCACATTGCATATCTTTTTGTAAAAAAGCAAAAAATATATTTAGGCATTTTTTGGCAACTCAAAAAATGTCAACTATTTTTCTGATTTTTTTTTAAAAATTTTTATCTTTAGCAATTTATTTTTCTAAAATTATGTAATTTTTTTTTTCCAATCAATATTGTCAAGACGAATCTAAAAAGCATATTTTTTTTGAAAAAATAAAAAATAAGCGAAAATAAGCAAAAAAAAAAAAAAAGATTACTTATTTTTATTTTTTTTGTTTTGTTTTGTCTTTTCTAAATTTTAAAAAAATTAAAAAAAAAATTATAATTTTTCGATTCGTCTGGTGAAGTTGACTATAGAAGCTTAAACTTTTTTTTAAAAAAATAAAAAAAAAATTCATTAAAGACAAAAATAAGTAAAATAAATAAATAAATCCCAAAACAACACTTATTTAAATTATTTTAAACAATCATTTAGTACAACAATTTATGTAATTATCTTTTAGATAGTGTGAAGGCTTAGATTTTGAGTCAATTGAGCTATTGTGGTTATTTTGTTATAATTTAACTTATTAACTCATTAACATTATACATACACAAAAAAAAAAAATTACAAGTGAAAAATTGTGTCATTTTTATACAATTCGCACTTGTACCCAAGACATATGTCACATGTATTGTGTTAATTTTTATTATTTTTTATTTACTTATGTTGTGTTTAGTTAAAAAATATGTAAAGAGATTTGAAAAAAAGAAAAGGTAAGTAAAATATGAATAAAATATACTTATATTTCTCCTAATTACACATATTTTTTTCCTTTATCTTTTCAAATTCATTTTTAAATCATTCAATCAAATACAATGATAATATTTCAATAAACAAATAAAAAAATGGTGCAGGCCATCTATACGTCCGTGTTAAAAAACAAATAAATAATAAATGAAAGCATTTTAGAATTCGTAAAAACACTTTTTTTTTTAAAAAAAATTTTCTTAATGCAATTCGTCATAGCGTGGCTTTTAACTTAATTTTTTTTTTTTGGAAAAAAGGGGGCTCCAAACGAGGAGGTTTTTTAAAAAAATATTCTGAAAAAAAAATTTAATTTACAAAATTGGCCTACTTTTTAAACTATTTAAGAAACTAACTTATTTTTTGAAATCATATTTTTAAATTGTGATTTTGAAATTGAAATTACGTTTTCAACATATAATTTCACCTTGGAATCACAGGTTGAAAATACCATTTATGATGACATAGTGAAATTGTATGTTCAACATGCAATTTCAATTGAAATCACATTTTTAACATGTGATTTCAAGGCGAAATTACATGTTGAAAACGTAATTTCAATTTCAAAATCTTATTTTCAAAATGCGATTTCAAAAACAGGTTAGTTTCCCAAACAGTTTAAAAAATGAGTCAATTCTCTAAATTGTTTTTTTTAAAGAATATTTATAAAAAAAAGAGCAAATTACACAAATAGTCCATATAGTTTGGGGCTTGTATCACTTTGGTCCCTGATTTCTCAATTGTGGCACATTTGACTATAAATTTTGAATCTTATTCCAAATAAGGACAATTGAAGATATCATTAGATTTTTCAAGAGTAAAATTGTCAATTTAATAAAATATAAACTAATTTGACAACAATAAATGTCAAACAAATATTTTTGAATTTTTAAAAATTATTTCTACCTACTAAAAATAAAATTATGTAAAATTGATAAATCTTTTAGACATTTATTTTTTTTTACCAAATTAATTTTTATTATATGTTTATGTATAAAATTAATTTAAAAAAATTAATAATGTAATTTTTATTAATTTTACATAATTTTATCATTGGTGGATAAAAATAATTTTTAAAAAATTAAAAATAATTTTTTGACATTTATTTTTGTCAAATTAGTTTATATTTTATCAAATTGACGATTTTACCCTTGAAAAATCTAATAATTTTTTCAATTGTCCTTATTTGAAACAAGATTCAAAATTCATAGTCAAATGTGTCACAATTGAAAAGTCAGGGATCAAAGTGACACAAGTCCCAAACTATAAGGACTATTAATGCAATTAATCCAAAAAAAAAAAACTCTCCAAACGAGCCCTAGCAGAGTTACGTAATTTTGATACATAGCTCGAAATTTTCAAACTCGAATTTGGCCCGAATCCAAAACGATTTTTTTTTTCCCTTCTTTCTTTCTCGTTTTTTTGAAGATGAAGATGAAGCAGAAGAAAAAGAAAGAAGAAAAAAAGAGAAGAGAGAGAAGCCAACAACATTCATCAACACATCATCATCAACAACAACAACATCTTCATCAACAACCAACAAATTTTTTTTTGCCCCCTTCATCTTCAGATCAGATCCACTAAAAAAAATATCAACAACATCTTCATCATCGTCAACAACAATAACATCTTCATGAACATCATCATTATCAACACATCATCATCAGCCAAAAAAAGAAAAAAAAAGAGATTCAGATCCGATTTAGATTCAAATCCGATCACTGCCATCATCGTCTTCTTCTCTTCCTCCTCTTTCTCTCTATCTTTTCTTCTTATTCTTCTCTCTTCCTCTTCTCTTCTCTCATTTCTCTCTCTCGCCTTTGTTTGTGTTCAAAAGCAAGAAAAGAAAGGAAAAAAAAAAAAAAAACCCAAAACAACGTCATTTTAGATTTCGAGCCAATTCGAACAAACTATTTTTGGGCTACCAAATATTATTGGAGTTACGAAAAGAAAAAGAAATCCAAAACAACATGATTTTAGATTTCGAGCCAATTCGAACAAACTATTTTTGGGCTACCAAATATTATTGGAGTTACGATTAACACCGCCTTGTAAATATTCGAGATTTCAGTCCCTCTTTTTGGGTGAAAATGTTAATTTTACAAATCACAGGGAGTGAGGTTGCAATTTATTATTATTATTTTTTTCTGGGTGCGTAGAACAAGTGTCCCATACTTTTTGTGAGAGAGAGTCCGATGGAATCAATCTTTTGTTCATCGTTCCATAGTTGAGATCATTATTGCATCAATGGAAGACACGAGCTTTAGGAATTTGGGAAGACTTTAATCATCATATTCTTCATCTTCAATGCCCAAATACATATAAACATTCACGTCTAAATCTGTTTTCAAAGGTAATATAAGATTATATCACAGTATTGATGATTTCATTATTTATTCTTTTTAATTGATATGTTAATAGCCCTTAGATTATTTATTTTTATTTTTTTTCGGATTATGTAGATGAATACCCCATCTTATATATTTGCGTGTATGTATTTCTTTTGGGTGAATTTGAAGAAATCAGTTTGCATTTGAATTGATTTGTTTTTTATATTTGTCTTAATTGATTAATTTTTCTTCATTTGTAATTTTACTGATGAAAACCCATCTTCTGCAATGCATTTATAACTTGATTTCACTCTCTTATGCATATTTATCTATATGGGGAGAGCATTTGTCACCTGAAATGGGCTTTCTTAAAATTCTAAGGTTCTTTTTATCTTATTTAATTTTATTTTATGCATATTTATATGATACATATATATACAGCTGCTTTTTATAAATCTAGATTGTATTGTATCCAATAAGGGTAACATAGGATGTTTGGTGCTGCATAACTGTATTTTCCAGATTCAACTTTGCATCAAGAAAATTGCTCATAATTATACAAGAATTGAAACCAATATTAGTGTTCTCGGGTTTGAGGTTTCCGAGGGGCGAGTTTTTTTTTTTTTACTGTTTAATTTCCCCACAACACACTCATATTACTCTTGTTATTAATGCTTTATGTATATACATTATTCTTTTTTTAAGTACATATGAAAACCCAAGGTTGTCATTTATCGGACAATATCTAACTTTCATTTTTTTCTTCTTCTTATGATTGAACGAATTGTATTGTCTTGTCTTAAATATATAGGAGAGAAGGCCTTGATTTTCTCAGACTGTCATTTCTTGGCATATTTATTATTGCCCTTTCTCTTATAAAAGAGGGAAGGCGATCAGCACACAGAAAGCATGGTCAACTCCAAGGAGCCCAAAAGAAGAGTAGCATTTGTGCTGATTGATGGGTTGGGTGATGTGTCACTGCCGAGGTTGGGTTATAAGACCCCTCTACAAGTAGCCAAAGTACCCCATTTGGATGCCATTGCTTCTGCTGGGGTTAATGGTCTTATGGACCCTGTTGAAGTAGGCCTGGGATGCGGAAGTGACACGGCACACCTTTCTTTATTAGGTTATGACCCAAGAGTGTATTATCGAGGTAGGGGTGCGTTTGAATCAATGGGAGCTGGATTGGCTATGTCACCTGGTGATATTGCTTTCAAAGTATGTTTTACATTTTGTCCTTGTTATAATTATTTACTCCTTAGTTTGTATGACTTTTTTTTTTTCTTCTTATCATTATTGGGTTTTGCATCATAGAGAATAATTCTCTTAACGTTATTATGATCCTTGCTAAGGATTTTCAACAAAGAGGCATGTAGGGATTTTAAATTTTAACGTTATTTTGCATTTATGGCTAAAACACGATATTTGTACTTTAAAGCTCTGTTATGTGATGGTTCTGTAATTTTTGCAATTATGCTGTTTTAATTTGTATGTTGCAGCATCATTAGGAGTTAGATTTGGCTACAACATCTATAGAACATTGAGAAGATCATGACTTCAAGAGTTATTTTAAAATAATAAAATAAAAAAAATAGAAGACAAGAGAGAAGATGATAGCCTTGAGACAAATTCTTGATGGAAGAAAATATTAGATTTGGTTGCTTCTATTATTACCCTTGTATTTGTAGATGACAATATGCAACTTTCAATTGCTGAATGTGAAAAAATAGTGTTATGAAACTATAGTCTGCACAAGCACACTGAAGAAGTCAAGCAAGTAAAAAAAAGTATGGCCACCAAGAAAAATAAGATTACAGCACCTCTAAACGATTGAAACCTTAAACCTACAAAGCTTGACCCATCTCTTCCACCTATCTGAGCCGTGCAGTTACCCTGAGATGGGTTTAGTCCTCTCCTTTATAACATTCAGTTGATAGGAATGGGCATAGATTTATGTTTCTTCTAACCCCAGTTGGTCTCCTAGCTTATCATAGAATCATAGACCTCACTAAGAGGCCACAAGCCAGGCGGTTTGTTTGTTTGTAGACATGAGCATATGCGTGCTTGTGTGAGTCAGGATATCCCCAGACTTTCTACTCTTTCATATTGATCTTACATTAATTCACCACAATGCTATAGGGCTTTCCACTCTCTTCCTCATCATGGAATGCAGACACAAAAAGCTTTGTGAATTGTTTATTATAATTAGTATATGCCTTTCATATATAATTATGTTGGCGAATATGTTAGAAATATACATAACAAGAAGTAGTCATTGGTGTTGCTGATGAATTGAATCAATGTGTTGTGCTTGTACTTACATCAAATAGGATAATATATTTTGATGTAATTTCTTGTGATGGCTTCACAATTTGAATTAATTCTGTGCAGCAAAGGCTCCTCTGTATATGTTGATGTTATATTTTATTTCTATTTGATCCAAGAAGTTTTTATATTAATCTGTTTCCATCTTTCTGGAATTTATTGGTCATTGTTGGTTGTTCCTCATGACAACCCATTATTGTCTTCAATTTCCAGTCAAATTTTGCAACATTAGATGAGAAAACTGGAACTGTCATCAGTAGGAGGGCTGATCGCCATTTTGAAGAAGAAGGACCTATCCTCTGTGCAGCATTGGATGGAATGAAGCTACCATCATTTCCTCAGTATGAAGTTAGAGTCAGGTGCCAGATGCTTTACAAGAAAATTCCTTAATTCCCTTTTGTACATCGCATGAAAAAGTTCTTTAGGACCTTAGATAATCATTTTCTTCGTCCCCAGCATCTTGAATGATAGATAAGACTGAGATTGACTCATATCTGATGAAGAGTTTTTTTTAACTCCAGCTTAAAGTTTGAGTGACTTCATACATTAAATCTCAACTAAAGTATTAGTGATTTGATCCTTGGCTTGAAGTTATTTATGGATTCTAATTTCATAAATAAGAAAATAAATAAATAAATAACATAAAAAAACATATCTTACAGGTATGCTACAGAACACAGGTGCGGAGTGGTCGTGAAAGGACCAAACTTAAGTGGAAATATATCAGGAACAGACCCATTAAAGGACAATCGCTTACTTTTACAAGCTGAAGGTTTAGATGATACTGACGAGGCAAAGCACACAGCTGCAGTTGTTAATGAATTATCAAAGGAGATGTCACGAATTTTGACTTCTCATCCGTTGAATGCTCAACGGGCTGCAGAAGGAAAGAACATTGCTAATGTTGTCCTTTTGCGAGGTTGTGGCATTCGAATTGAGGTCTGTTGTCTTAATCATCAAATCCCTCTCTCACACACACACAGACACTCACTTGAAGGGACACACAGACACTCACTTGAAGGGGTGCTGCTTATTGGTACATATTTGCAATTATCTGACTAGTTATAATACTTTGAATGTTATTATCAGGAAGCAATAATGGTTGTTTAGTAGTCATTTTTTTTCTTTGACAATTTTGTTTTTTTATCCAAATTCCAAAATATGCATAATAAAAAGGGAAATGAAAATAAGAAAAAGATTGTAAAGAAAGAAGAGAAGCATCAAACCGTGAAAGTACGCTGAACATCTGATTTTCACAGTTTTTGCCTTTGTCCATTCAAATGCTGGGTTTTCATTTTTTGTCTGGAACAGTCTCAGATACCTTTATGTATGGTGATCATCCTTGTGTCTGATTTGATTTATTATGACACAAAAAGGCAAATATCACTGTAGGATTCCAAATGAAATGAAATCCCCAACCTACAAGCTTGAGATGTTCAATGAAGAGTTAGCATTAGCAGTTACAAGTCAGAATGAATGCCTTTGCAGCATGCATGTGTGCAAGTTTTGTTTATTTATTTCAATTTGTAGAATTGAGCTACCTACATCTGAATATATACATATATATATGAAATTATGTGTTAGGTTCCTCCATTCGCAAAGAAACATGGGCTGTTGCCATGCATGGTAGCTCCTACTAAAATTATAGCTGGCCTGGGCTTATCACTTGGAATTGATATCCTGGAAGCGACAGGAGCGACCGGAGACTATCGAACACTATTGACTTCCAAAGCAACTGCAATAGCTAAGGCACTCTCAGCTCCTCTGCAGTCTTGCCCCAGTGTATTTGTACCAGGGGAGGATGAGCACAAACCAGGACAACCAGATGGCTATGATTTTGGGTTCCTTCACATTAAGGTGCTGACTTAACTGAGATCCTGTTACTCTTTATTTTGTTTTTGTTTTTTGTTGTTATTGCAAATACCACAAAAGGGAAACTCTGCTTTTGAGGCTGAAATCAAATTATGACATATTAACCATTGTTTGTCAAGCATATATTTGTGAATGCATGTGTTGCCACAAAATGAAGCTATTTGTCAGACTCAGGTCAAATATTGTCATGGAGAATTAAATAATTCTGGCCATGGGTGGTGCCACATATAACATGAAGCCATTTGTTTGTCAAGCATATAATTTTTTATACTTGACTTACCACAAAATGAAGCCATTTATCATGGACTCAGATTAAATATTGTCATGGAAGAATTGAATAATTCTGGACCATCTTAGACTCTCTCAGTTGGAATTTTCAGTGGCATATGCAGCAAAATTGAACACCACATAATTGGCAAAGAGAACTAGTAAAATTTGATGGTTTTTTAATTAATTGATTGTATGAATTATTTAGATAGATCCCACTTTGTTTTTTGTTTCCCACCATATTGGTTATTTTAAATTGATTGATTATTGGTTTTGCAGGCAATAGATGATGCAGGTCATGATAAAGCTAGCATTTTCAAAGTTAAAGGGTTGGAGGCTGTTGATCGAGCCATTGGACAGTTGGCCAGGCTTCTTTGGCAGGCCGAATCAACTGGAAATTTTCAATTTTTCCTGTGTGTCACCGGAGATCACTCTACTCCAGTTGAATATGGTGACCACAGCTTTGAACCTGTTCCATTTACGTTGTGTCGATTAAAGGACTTTGTGGGTGCAATGGGTGGGGAGTCCATCGTTATGGAAACTTCCCTTGATCCGTTTCCTCTTCCGACAATCAAGGCTGATGAAAATCTAGCAGATGATGCGGCGTTGGCATTGGAGGAAGCAAAAAGAACTGGACAGCTTCAAGCTTTCTGTGGTGATTCAGTTTGTGAGTTTGATGAGGTAGCAGCAGCAAGAGGTTGTCTTGGGCGTTTTCCTGGAGGTGAGATGATGGGAATTATAAAGACATTTCTTAAACTCAAACTATGATTTGCTGACTTCGGGCTTAGGAGGTTGACGGTGATTCCAAGTCTATGTGGGAGGATTCCCAATAAGGTTTATTTAGACCAAAATATAACGAGATTGGGCGATTTGGATCATCCAATTTCGATGCTGCTTCGGACATTTTCATAGAACTAGCTGATCAGCTGGTGTTGTAATTTTTTTTGGCAAATATGTTTCACTCTGGTTCAATTCTATGCTTCTGGCTGCATTGGTAGAGCAGGAGCTAATTGAAAGAACTTGATACTCAGGAAGAGTCTTGCTTGTCCTTTAAATGTGTAAAGGGCCAAAGGTGTAGTTTTATTTCTACGAGTTGTTTTGTCTTTTTGTTTTAATTAATTTTGCATTTTCTGAAATAAGTTAACCTAGTTACTTATAAATTTCTCAGTGCTTAATATAATTTTTTTTTACTTATTTGGAATTGCTCCAGTGGAATCACATACTTTAATTATATCAATAATTGTATTCTACTAATGCAAGCTCAAGGCCTCCATACTGCTTTATAAATGGTCCTCAATTTCCCTGCGTATACATGACATAGATATAAATATATCGTGTATGTAAATGTAATAAATGTTCTTTCCACATTTTCCTTTCCCTCCAGAACCCCTGCCCAAATTCTAAATCCAAACACTGCCTGAAAGGCCCAGCCTTGGTACCTTTGCTCTGTGGAAGGTAGGGACATTTTAGAGCCGAATAATGCTACATGTACCAATTAGTATACTAATAGATGATGTAATATAGTTTTAAAAATTTTAAGTATAATAATATAATACTAATTGATACACTAATATGTACATTACTGATGCACGTTTTAGAGCTACAAATCACAGCGAACAGCTTCAATACATTTTAAAGTGCCTAAAAGAAAGTGAAAGATAAGGAGTTACTTTTCTATCTGTCTCTTTTCTTAATTACTTTATATATTTCTCTCATTTGTTATATTTTTATTATATATCCTTTTTCACTTGAAATGGACTGACCAATTGTGTTTTTTTGCAATTTGTTTTTGGCTGCTTTTTTTAATTATTTTTAATTGTATTGTTATATGATAATCTTGACAAAAATATTTGAGACCTCTAAATAAGGAGCTCTAGAGATAAGCTCCACCTTGTGATTTGATGTTTTGACTTGTAATGTTACATTTTATTTTTTTATGTATGACCACATCACTAGAGTTGGCATTAAAATTTCAATTTTAGTGCTGTCTATCGGCACTCTAATCCTAAAGCATGGAAGTTGTATACTTTTGTCACTAACTTGCTCTTTATTGACATTATCTACTTTTGTATGCATGCATTCATCATATCAAATGTCAATTATTGAAGCAACAATGATTCATCCCACTAATTTGAGAGTATTAATTGATTACTAATGAGATAAAAATTCAAAAAAAAAAAAAAAACATAAGAGAAAAAAAAAAAAAACACATAAGAGCAAAATATCCCATCATATAAGACCTACATTACTTTAAAGCTATTAATGCTCCTTTTTTTTTTTTTATGGCCTCACTCATTTTTCATATCGAAGACACCCCCACCCTTTTATCTTCACTCATAAGAAAGCAATCAGATCAACTTCCATAATTTTCAATTGTTTTCGTCACATGATTAACTTTTTAGTCACTTAGAGAGAGAGAGAGAGAGAGAGAGAGTGTGAGGAAGGGAGAGATGTATGTGACAAGGCCTTTATCGCTCTACCGGAATTCTCCTAGTGCTGGTTCGGTACAGCCACCAGATGCTCCATATTCAGGTTATCTAGTTTTTACAGACGAAGAAGCAGAAGCGCAAGAAACATGTTGTTGGGGTGTATGCAAGAACAAGAGAATTACAAATCTACCATTTCCTCAAGACAAGATTTTAAAGGTTGTTCACTCATCTGAACACGAAGAGCCGTCTGTTACAGAGGTCTGGTTCATCCCAGTTCTTGATCAACCGCTCTCATCCAACCGCTATTACGTCATCAAAGCCAGAGGCAAGTATAAAGGGTATGCTATACCTATCTCTCTTATATCTTTAAATTCATATAAATTCCTAAACAACCACCAAAATCGAGTTATGAAAATCGGTTCAACTGACCTTGAAGTTTGATGCAAATTTGATTATTTGGATATTTGTAATGTTGCAACTACTGTAGCAATTTTTGCAGGCTAGTTTGCACGTGTTCAAGAGAGGACGACGTTGTTGGATGCTGTTTTAGAGATGTCATAAGAGACGTAAAGCCAATACCTTTCGATCATAGGGACATATACCAACAAGTTGAGATTCATCGCTATTTGAAAAGTAGTTTCTACGCAAAGTCAGTATCTGGTGACGGTTTTCCTCCAAAATTCCTAAGAAGAAAGGGATGGGAAGTTTACGCCTCCACTTCATCAATGAAAATTCAAGTAAGAGAAACTGAAGGCCTCAACACCTCTCTCCCAATTCACCTTCCCAGATTCAATTTCCCAGTATATTACAAGTGCTCCCCTTCAGTTGTGATAGCGAAATGGTATTGCCCATTTGTGTTTGTAAAGGAGGAAGCTACTACAGTAGAATACCAAGTTAGAAGATCTTTGTTGTATGAGATGACACTTGAGCAATGGTGGGAAGAGATATATTTGTGCGAAAACGAAAGCAATGAAGCCAATGTTGTCGTGATTGTGAATGTGAACGCTACTGTGAAGAGTGAAGCTGTTCTAGCATATGGGATTGAAGCTGCGAAAGATGAGAGACATGTTGATGATATTGATGGGTTTGTTTGGTTTAGAGTAATTGAAGACCAGGTTTGGAGAAGAGTGGTGGGTATGGGTGTGGGTTTGAGTTCAGCAATTGTTGAGAAGATGAGATGGGTGGAAGAGAGAAGAGGGTGGGTTGATGGAGGGGAGAGAGGTGTGATAGTGGAGAGGGAAGAAGAGGTCAGAGGTGCGTGGAAGAGATTTAGTTGTTATGTGTTGGTGGAGAGTTTTGTTCTGAAGAGAAGAATGGATGGACTCGTTTTGCTAAGTTGCAAGTTTAGGCACACCCACATGACCCAATGCAAATGGGAGTGAGGTTTCTATTTTATCAATTCGGGTTAATTTTACTTTTTATCTTTTAAACTATCTTTATTTTTCGATTTCATTCTTGAACTTCTAAAAAGTTCATAATTTTGGTTTAATATGATTAAAAAAGTCACAAAATCAATTGGGATTAGCCTAATCACAGGGTAGAATTTAATCTACATCTACACTTCGTAGTGATAAAACAAAACAATGCACATCATATATGGATATATTTTCTTATCACTACGCAATTTTTGAAGTTCATGTTATCCATAATAAGGACCAAAGGCTGACAAGTTCAAAAACTTGGGAACCCAATTCCCAAATTGATCATTGTACACCTTCTTCCCTAACCCAATTCTCAGTTCAAGTTCGCAATTGATTACACAGGAATTTCAAAGTGAATGGGAACAAACAAGAACAAAAAAAAGGTCGAACCAAGTTCAAGTTAGCCCCACGTCTCTGTCAGGCATTTTATCGAACATCATAAATGCAACAACTTATAGGTCGTTGCAATGATTTGAATTACAAAGTTCAAACGCATTCAGTTTCGTTTTAACTAATCAATCAAAACCCAATTATTAGTCTTCCCATAAAGAAACACAAAAAGAAGAAGAAATACAAAGCACAGGAGATAAAGCTGCGTTCACCATTTTTTTTTTCTTTCCTATATAGTTCTTACCAATTGGTTGAAAATTAGACGAGACCATAAAATCCAATGCGTTTTGAGTAACTATCCAGAAACGACTGAAGTTAATTTGGGCTTATTGTTTGGGGCCCGAAACAGTTTCTTTGTGGACTTCTGGCCAATGTCGATCTTTTTCCTTATCTCTTCTCTCTCCTCCCTTGCTCAATAAAAATAAAATTTTAGTGTAATGGTAATACCGATAATATAGTATCACCAACACATAATCATAAACTCTGGGGTTGTTTAGAATGTCTTAAATAAGTGTACTTTTGTCTTTTTGGATCAAAAAGTTGAGGAAAAAAATATGGATGTTTGGATTAACTTTTTGACTTTTTATGAAAAAATGTGTATTAAAAAATTATATAAATAAGTTGTAGGAGAAGATAGTGTAGTACACATGTACGGATTGGCAGTCAGCCGGCTGGGTGAATACATGGGAAAAAATTGCCTCATTTTCGGCTTTGATTGGACGGTGTTGTTCGGCCCGTGGGGGCCCACCACGGGTCCCATTTTTCTAATCGGAACCATTCAATATGTAAAACTCGTCGAGTACTATATGCTTGTAAAAAATCACTCTGATTGGATATCGATAGCTGTCTGATCGTGTTAGTTTTTTTGTCAACTGTTAACTATAACATTATCTAATTTTTATACAAAACTAATTTGATCATGTAGTTAGCGATATTCGATAGACGTGATTTTTTACAAGCATATAGTACTAGACGAGTTCTACATCTTGCACGGTTCGGACTATCAAAACGACCTATGGTGGCCCCCCATGGGCCCAACTTTACTATCAAATTTGGTAAATGTATACATAACATTTTTTTTTTGCCCTTTCCCTGTAGTTGGCTTGACATCAGACATTGATGGGGCAAAAACTTTACTTATATTTTAATATTTATATATTAATTTTTTAATATTTTTTTTGGGTAAATAGTGATAACTTTTAAATTTTTTTAGTAACTTTTTGACTTTTTTTACACTTGTCAAACCAGCCCTCTATAGGTGGAGTGTGAATCCCTACTTTTTAGGTGCCACATATGCATAGGAAGATAAATGGTAAGATATTATTGGACAATGATACTAATAATGTGATATTTATATTAAAAAAAATTCGCCAAAGGAAAGTGATCTAATGAGTACTAACATCTTAAGTGATCCCACTGTTGGAACAATCTTCTGTGTAAATAAAATAATTTGAAATAGTTCAAACAAAATAAATAAATAACTTACTGAATTTATTTATCGAACCGAATTAAAAATAAAAGACCAAGTCGAGTGTGTGACACTCTGTCTTTAAGACAGACTCGCCCCGTTACGGTGCTTACGGTTGAGTGGCGTCTATCTCCCAAGATACAATGATCTTCACAAATTTGTAGAAGCACTTCAAACAAATTTGTCCGGCGAACTAGAACCTTGTGTTCTATAACTCTCTGAAATTTATTCCTAATATTTTATATGAAGAATAATGCACTAAAAGAAAATGGACAGCAAAGAGACAAGAATTTCAGACTGAATTTTTCGGATCAATCAAAATTGGAATGGGGCTGTCTTTATATAGGCTTTGTTGGCACCTATTCAATTTGAATAGAAAATGTATGAAGAAGGGACAAACTTATTCCTTTAAAATAAAGAGACACCATGAAAGGTTTGTACCCTTTCATTCAAATGGAGGTTTGACCCTTCCTTTAAAACAAAAAGACACCATGAAAGGTTACACCCTTTCATTCAAAATGGAGTCTATTTCAATTCACAACTACCTCTTTATAAATTTTCCAACAATCCCCCACATAAACTTGCAATGTGGTTTATGTGCGCTCAAGTGGTGAACACATATGGCCCCCAAGTGTCCAAAACATGACCAGTTCTACAAAAATTTTAAAATAATAGGACATGTTTGGATGTCTACATACTGTTAGTGTCGGTGTGTCTTGGACAAGGCAACCTATAATTTTGTTACTTGGGGCATGCAATAATTAATCATCAACCACTAAACTTGCATTCTATGTAATGGCGATCAATGCAGATCTCATAAATAATCTTCTACATGAAACATGTAGTTCTTATTTTTACTGAACCAGGTGTAACATGTGTAGTTCTTCTATGTTTAGTTTTAATTTATACTTCAAGTGGACTTCTAGTTCCTACTTGAGCACAGTGATCTGCCATACTCCACTAGGTTTACCTAGATATAAGAATCATTAAAAGTATTACTTAACCTAAACCGCTGCAGACATCGCTATTTCATCAAAGAAATGGGTAGGAGATAAACTCCCCAGTAATCCTTCTGAGTCATTCACAACTCGGTTGTCCCTTTGAACCTAGATCTTGAGATCTCCAGTCAACTAGGTTGGGTTGTCATTGTGGTAACTCTTATTTAATAGGCTTTAGTCCTATTCCCCTCGATGAATTCTCAACTAACTCTCTTGTTAACCCTTTGGTTAGTGGATCCGCTATGTTGTCTTTAGACTTAACATACTCTATGGACATAATTCCATTAGAGAGTAGTTGTTTTACGGTATTATGTCGACGACGAATACGTCGAGACTTACCGTTATACATATGACTCTGGGCTCTACCAATTGCTGATTGACTATCACAATGTATGCATATAGCAGGCACCAGTTTTGGCCATATTGGAATATCTTCAAGGAAGTGGCGAAGCCATTCTACCTTTTCCCCTGCTTTGTCTAAAGTTATGAATTCAGATTCCATAGTAGACCTAGCAATACAAGTCCGTTTGGAAGATTTCCAAGATACAGCCGCCCCACTAAGAGTAAAGACATACCCACTAGTGGACTTTGAGTCTCTTGTATCCGATATCCAATTTGCATCACAGTATCCTTCAAGTACTGCTGGATATCTAGTATAATTAAGCCCAATGTTACGAGTAAATCGGAGATATCTAAAAACCCTTATAATTGATTTCCAGTGTTCTACTCCCGGATTACTCGTATATCTACTTAATTTACTTACTGCATAAGCTATATCTGGGCGAGTGCAGTTCATCAAATTTACATTAAGCTTCCAATAATTTGGGCATACTTTAATTGAGAAATACTTTCCTGTACATTCTTAGAAAGATACAAATTAACATCTATAGGAGTTCTAGCAAGATGATCATCATATTTACTGAATTTGTCAAGTATTTTCTCAATGTAATGAGATTGTGACAAAGCATATCCTTCTGATGTTTTGGTAATTTTCATACCAAGTATTACATCAGCAATGCCCATGTCCTTCATGTCAAAATGTTTATTCAACATTTTCTTGGTAGTTTTAATCATGTCATTATTACTACCATTGATGAGCATATCATCTACATAAAGATATACAAAGACATAACCTTTATCTGTATTTTTAATATAAACACATTTGTCACTCTCATTAATTTTAAATCCATTTGACATCATTGCCTTGTCAAATTTCTCATGCCATTGCTTTGGCGCTTGTTTTAAACCATATAATGATTTAACCAATTTACACACTTTCTTTTCTTTTCCTGGAACAAAAACCCTTCTGGTTGTTCCATGTAAATTTTTTCATTTAACTCACCATTTAAGAAAGCAGTTTTAACATCCATTTGATGAATTTCTAGATTGTATAGAGATGCAATGGCAATTAGCATTCTAATGGATGTTATTCTAGTAACGGTGAGTATGTGTCAAAGTAATCTAGACCTTTTTCTGTCTAAAACCTTTGACTACAAGTCTTGCCTTGTATTTGTCTATTGATTCATCCGCTTTCAATTTCTTTTTGAAAATCCACTTGTACCCAAGAGGTTTACAACCTGGTGGCAAGTTCACTAATTCCCAAGTGTGATTTTGCAAGATGGATTCAACTTCACTGTTGACAGCTTCTTTTCATAAAGGAGCTTCAGACTGGACATAGCCTCTTTAAAAGTTAAGGCTCATTTTCTAACAAAAATGTTAGGAAATCTGGACCAAAAGATTTTGAGGTTCTAGCACGTTTACTACGCCTAGGTTCCTCTTCCTCATTTTGATCTAACTCTAGAGCTTGATCATGTTCTTGATCATTACTAGTAATAGCATCAAAAGATCTTTTATTGTTACTAGTCTCTTGTCCAGTCTTTTTTGGAAATACATGTTTTAAAAATGATGCATTTCGAGACTCAATAATAGTATTTACATGCATTTCGGTATGTTCTGATTTATAGCATAACCAATGAAAATGCAATCAATGGTCTTAGGACCTATCTTAGTCTTTTTAGGACTAGGAATAGCCACTTTAGCCAAACACCCCCACACTTTTAAGTATTTGTAGGATGGTACTCTTTCATGCCACAATTCATAAGGTGTTTGATTCACTTTCTTTTCAGGGTACTTTATTTAAAATATAATTAGCAGAA